TCGCCTCCCGTCCCCAACGTCACGCTTGCGGCCAGCAGCCATTGCCAGGCTCCCGGGCTTCATTACTGAAATGGGAATGGCTGTCAGTTCCCCTGGCAGAGCGTCATATGTGAAAAATTAATTCAGGGGGAAAGAAAAATGCCACCACCCCCAGGGCTGGGAGAGCGCAGGGCAAAGAGGCTTGGATGGGGCTGGGCTGGCGAGCGCTGTCCTGTTGGCTGGGTTTTGGTGGTGGGGACAGCCCGGGAGCAGGGGATGCTTCCCACAGCCTGAGTGGATGAAAGCCGGTAGTCTGCCCCAAATTGGCCACTGGTGGGGAAAAACGAGCCACACAGTTCTTTTTGTTCCTGGTCCTGCTTTTTGCCATGGCAACTCCAAGAGGGTGCGCTCCCTCCTCCCCGCTTTGGGCACGATAAAGGCAAATTGTGCAGAGGATGCTGGGGGCAGCTCTGCCTCTTGGCAAGGCATTTCTAGGGTAACGCTGAGCAGGCAGCAGTGCAGGAGCTGGATGGGGGAAATGCAGCTCTTCTGGGGGAAAAAAAAAACCCTAAAACCAAGTTGCTTAAACCCAGACTCGCTTCCCCCCTTTTTGTTTGCCAGCTCTTCTTTACTGATATACTGACCGTGGTGTTCCTGCAGGCAGGGCAGCCCATCCCTGCCGTGGGAGGAGGTGTTGCGGTGCCGGCAGAGCTCGGGGCTCTCGGCAGAGCCCACCGTGGCGTGTGCCCAGTGCCCACCTCCCCAGGGCGGTGGTTCTCGTGCCCTGACGCTGCCGTGCTTTCTGCCTTGCAGCCTCCCCCTTCATCATCGCCATGCTCCTGGCCAGCCTCAACAGCTGCTGCAACCCCTGGATCTACATGCTGTACACGGGACACCTCTTCCACGACCTGATGCGGCGCTTCCTCTGCTGCTCCACGCGCTACCTAAAGTCACGGCCGGCGTGCGACCTGAGCGTCAGCAAGAAGAGCAACTCCTCCTCCCACGTCCTCAGCTGCAAGAACACGAGCCAGAGGAGCTTCACGCAGCCGTCCATGATTTGAGGCATCACTGGCCGGGACATTGCGCCGCCGCTGTGCTGCCTCCAGCACTTCCCTGTGAAAAGCTGGGATTTGGACAAGCAAGGGCGTTTCTATATAAATAGGTGTATATATGTCTGTGCGCGTGTAAGCATGTACAGTGGTTGTTATTTAACTGAGGCAGGAGTTGGGGGAGGACTTCTGTGTTCCAAGTTTCAGTGCTGCCTGGGCCTGGACACCAGGGACCTGCTTCTGAGCCCCCAAACCACTGATATCGGTGGCTTTTAGACACCACTGGGAGGGACAGGTTTTGCCCCAAACGATCCCGCGTTCTGGGGCAGGTGTGCTACGTCCCCATCGGATGCAAGGGACTGCAGTGTGGGGTGATAAGTGCCACCTTGGGCACCCGGGCATCGGGCACCCAGCCCCACCACTGGTATCCCATGGGATGCCAGCGCCTGGCTGGGGCAGAGCCGTGGGCACTGCGTTCTCAACAGGGGTGCGATTGCTTCTCTTGAAGCGCTGCGGGGCAGAGGCAGCCCCATCCCTGCATCCCTGCGTCCCTGCGTCCCTGCTCGGTGCCAGTCCTGCTTCCCCCAGCCTGGGCCCGCCGGTGGCACCGCCAGCACAGAGCAGGGCAGTCCTGCTGCCACGGGCTGGGGGGGGGGACAGCGGGGACAGGGCTGGGGACAGGCATCCTGGGGGGCAACACTAACGGCCGGGTGTCCCTACCCCCCCAAGCTGTGCTCCGTGTGCTGTGTGAGGCTGGGCACACGGGTCAGCAGGAGCCAGGGGAGCGGACACGATGGCAGGGCCAGTGGATCTGTGCAATAACACGTTTGCCGAGTGCGCTCAAAAGCTTCTCTGAAGGCAGGCGTGTGGGATTACAGCTGGACTCCGTGGGGTTTAACAGAGAAACTCCTGTTGAGTCCCCTGAGGCCAAGCTTTTGCTTTGGGTTTACCGCAGATCGCATTTAGTCTTTTACACCAATGCAATTTTCTTGCTCTGTAACGCACAAGGTCATGCTTATGGCATGGATTTTTAATTGTTAAGAAATACCTGTAAATAAAGTTTTCTGACTGTGTTGTGATGGAAAGCGGGAGGGGAAGTGCAGAAGGAACACTAGACTAAGAAAAGGAAGGAAACCGATGGGAAACAACGCTTTGAACACAGGACCCAAGTATGCTCAGCGTAACGATGCTTTTGTCTATCGAGTACTGCACCAAGCACTTAAGATCTGCACGCCGCTTTATTGCATAGCATGAAGCTATGCTCCTGCCTTCGCTCATGCTGCCTCCCAGATCTGCAGCTGGGGGGGATGTGCAGAAGCAAGGCCTGCATGCAGTCGAAGGGTAATACAATTTGGCCTTACATTTTGGGAATGAATATGAAAAATGCATTTAAAGGTGTACTTTGTTTTGTCACTGTCATCAACAGGTACATTTTCACCTTTCATATCCTGGCATTCCTTTGACTTTTTTGTAGTAGCTTCAAGCGAGCTCTCAGCACATTTGCTGAGTACAACCCAGCACATTCAGTCTCAGCATATTTTACCAGACTAGTTTATATTCTTAGGAAAGCATATAGCATTTTCCTCCCATGTTCACCTTCTTTCTCCTTGACAGTATTTAATTCCTGCACAAAACAAGGAGGGGGGGATGTCCAATTTTATCATGAACCCAGGGGCCTGGAGCATTCTCTGCTGGGAAGGAAAGGCAATGTGGCGATAGACGTTACCAGGACTGATGCACAGAGCAAGGAGGAAGCTTTGGGAGAGGCCGGGCATTGCCTTGCGAGCCCTGGTTGCAATTAGTGGCTGTGGTTTCGGGGTCAGGCAGGCGGGGCCGTGCCCCCACTCGTGGGATACTGCGTTCTCCAGCCGAGTGATGCTGCAGCCCACAGCCGAGCTCCCGCGCCGTCCCCGGGCTGTGGTGAAATGGGGACAGGAAGAGGAGCTCCAGGTTTGTTGCAGTGGAAGGATATTGAACAAGCTGTTGAAAAACCTTTCATAAGGGTCAAAAGAAAATAGAGGTGCTGACATGCGAGTGGTGCGTGTTCCATGTGCGGGGAGCCCATAGAACATGGCGTTGGGGAGATTAGAATTTTGGAGGGTTTTTTGGGTTCAGGCTGTGAACTACTAGAACAAAAAAGATTAAAGAGAGTATAATCCCAGTATTGTTTTTAATTATTTTTATTCCCACAAAAAGCTTTAAAAAATGCTCATGATTTGAGCATTTAAAAAATGCTCATTTAAAAAATGCTCATGAGTTTCTGGAGACTTTTTTTTCCCCTACAAATACCTAAATATCTTTTTTTTTTTTTGTATCGCTCCACCCATCTCGAGGCCGGGAGCTGTCAGAGCATGGGTGCTGTATTGCTATGGAATAATGGAAGTCCACAATCCCAAGCCATTGGAAGAACACCAATAGAAAATCTGGCTCTTTCTTGTCCTTGGCATGGCACTAGGAGAGATTTTTGGCTCCAAGTCTTTGTTGGAAGCCGAGGGAAAAAAGCACATGAATACAATTGAGAATAACCTCTGAACAACGAGACCTCCTGGGCCCTGATTCAGCAAAGCACTTAAGGCCAGAGCCAAAAAAGCATTTAAGCGCCTCAAGTTAAAGTACGGCTTCATGGAAGATGGACTAAACAAATCAATTGACAACACAGGGGAGGATATAGCTCCGAATTGGACTTTTTTCCCCCAGCCCCTGCGTTTTCACTGGAGCCGGAGCGGCTGGGAGCGGGCAGTGTCCCGAGGAGGCTCCCTCCTCCGCTCCCCCCCCGCACATCTGGGCGAGCCCCGCGGGATGCTTTGGGGGGGGACCGGCGGGAGGGAAGGGTGCGAGGCAGCACGTCGGATGCGGGTCTCCTCCCGAGGGGTCGGCGTGGTCCTGCCCCCCCGCAGCCTCGGTCGCTCCGTCCCAGCGCCGGGACAGCAGCTAAAGCAGGGCACGGAGCAGAGGGACAGCCCTCGCCGTGTAAGATAAATGCATTGCTGTAGGCTAGAGCTTACTCAGCATCAAAGAAGCAAGCAAGTAGTAAATATTCTCCCTGAGAAACAAGCCAAAGCTTGACTTAAAGCCAAGCTTGTCATTTCTCAAGCGACGTTACCAAAAGCCATTTGTTCTCGTTGCTCCCCATGGTGCTGCCCGGCTGCCCTCTCTGCAGCCCCAGCGTGCTCGCGGGCGATGCGCAGGACAGCCGCCCGCCTATGCCGTACTGCCTGTTGAATCCTGACCACAAGGCATAACGATGCCCCATAATTGAGTAGTGAGTGTCAAACTGCCACAAATGGGTTTGCAGCTGCCCGTGGCCCAGGCTCAGCACATACTCCCAGAAGGCAGGCACAACATTTCATGCACTACTTGATCTGGATTTCAAAGCTTTGCTGAAATGCAAACAGATATGAAAAAAAAGTTTGTTTTCACTATTCTATCCATAAAACTTTTGTGCAGCGTGATTTAATACAGAAGCTTCCACAACAACAATTATTTGCAGCAAATAATAATTCATATGCGAGTATTTCTCTCAGTGTCATGCTAGACCGAAGGGATGGAGAAGCAGGCAGGGTTTGGTCTGTTGTCCAGCAGCATCTCTGCACCCTCACTTCTCACTCTGCAGCTGCAGGTCATGGCCCAGGGCTGTGGTTCAGGAGATGTTGCAGTCCCTCCCGCAGGAGCAGGGCATGATGCTGGGGGTCCTTGGAGGGCAGAGGGCTCTCTCTGGGCTGCTCGCCGAGCCTCGATGGGCTTCTCTTCTCCTAAAGCTGCTGGCTTTGGGATGGAGGAAGGGGCAGCCTGGCATGCCTCCATCTGCAGGGAGCATCCCCGGCAGCCAGCACTGCTGCAGAGCCCTGCTGCACCACGCAGGTCCCTGGGGCCGGGTGTCCATGTGCCCGAGGGCAGGGCACGCTGCAGGAGCCAGGGAAACCTGTGCAGAGGGGTAGTTGTGCGAGGGCTGGTCGGGGTGGCCATAGGGACCTAGATCTCCTTCCGGAGAGTGACTCTGACGTTGCTGCAGATCTTGGAGAGTGCCTCGAAGAGTGGGTCGCAGAAGGTGTGGATGCAGAGGGAGTAGATTCGGCTGACGCACTGGATCTCTATCAGGTAGCTCTTGATGCAGGGCACCACTGCCCAGATGTGGCAGAACGAGATGAGGGCAAAGAGGAAGCCCCAGATGACTGCCAGTGGGATGCCCAGGATGGCAGAGAGCAGCCGGTAGCACCAGTACTTGCTGACGGTGAAGGTGGTGTAGCTGGTTTTCCAGACACCGTCAAAGCTGTATGTTCCCACAGGCTCAGCTATCACATCCTCAAAGTCCACCTGGGAGGAGAGAAGAGGGAGGTAAGGGGGGCTTGGGGCGGTAACAAGGGCTCCAGGGCAAGGGTGAGGATCTGCTGCAATGTGAGAGGAGAGCCCGAATGGAGGGGGCTGGGGAGAGCAAGGGGCGTGCTGGGGAGGTCAGCTCCCCTGCACCCCCCCGAGCAAGGACAAGCCCCCATGCAGCAGGAGAGCCCCTGCCCTGGCAGAGGTCGGAGCGGGAGAGGGCACGGGGCTCCCGGCACAGCCTGTTCTCAGCCCATGGGCAGCGCGGTGCACAGGCTTAACCCACGGCACGAGACCCCAGGCTTGGCTGCTCCGGGACACGTTGCCTGGTCCCAAACCCCGAGCTGTGGATGCTTCCAGGTGCTGGGGCCAGGCACGAGCCCTCGGAGCAGGAGCTGTGCATGGGAGTGTTTACTCCGGCGTTGGCCAGAGCCCTTTCCTACACTTTTTTAGCATTCAGGGACACGGGCTGCCTGCTTGGCAAGAAGGTGGTTTGTGCTAATAAAAATCCAACCGCCCTCTTGATTTATGATTTATTTATTTATATATGCAGAGGTGAGGTGCTCAATTCTGGCTGTCTGCGTTCTGTCTGAAGAGGGAGAGAGATCGGCTCAGCCATGCCCTTACAGGGATAGTGCTGTTATGTGCAGGCATTGTGAGTGTCTCTGAATGACAAATACGCTTAAAAGCCTCTGAACTACGCATACAGATCTCATTGAGGTGTAACTCATTTCTAGGGGATACGTGAGCCAAGCTATTTGTCTTGAAAAATAGCATGGCGTTTTCTTGGGAAGCTAATGTGTCTGTTTGTACATTTATGTTAAATTGCAATATCCATTCTGGTTTTGGAAGCACTTTGATCATAAAATCATTCTGCATCATCTTTAGTTTCCTGGAGTGGATAGGAGGTACTGGGAGAAATATTGCCGTGGATTAGGAATCAGCAGCCAGGTTAGCTGGTCCCAGAGCGCCTGTCAGCAGCTCCCAGGAAAGCCCTGCTGCCCAGGTGGGCTGGGGATGGAGCAGCAGCTCACTGTACAGCTGCCTGACTGCCTGATGAGCTCATCAGGGGATCAATTAATGAAGGGAGTGGCAGGCTATAAGAGAAGAGTCTCTGCCTTGCTGCTTCTCTTGCTAACAGTGCACCAGGAGTGGGTCTGGAGGAGGGCTGGAGGCAGAGGCTGAACCCTGAGCTGAGCCTGGGCACTGCCCCAAAGTGTTCAGGGACCAGCAAATGCAGGTACCGCTCTATTGCTCTATTGCTTTGCCGGGGAGGAGGCTTTTAAAGCTCTGCAGAGCTTCTGTGGCCAGTGCTACCACTGTAACTGTAATATGGTCTCAAATTCTGGCTGTTGCACCACAACTCTCAGGATAGGTTTATCTATGGCCATGGAAACCCTTCAACCTGCGAAGCACTCTGTTTCCCTGCTTCCCTCTGGTGGATGCCTCTCTCCCTGCTGTGCTTCTAAGAGCATTATGTGCTATAATGCCCAGGGTGGTTTTGAGTGTGTTGCTGCCCACCGGGGAGTGGGGAGGCTTTGGCTTTCCGATTGGGACACTGTCAAGTGGCAATGGGCTGAGTTGTGCTCCCTGTCCTGGGGCTGGCTCTGGCCTCCCTCCCCAGCCTTATCGGCTGTGCTATTTTTAAGGTGGGAGGAATGCTAGGTAGCTAGAGCAAACGCTCTGAGAACTTCCAAAGCTGATGAAGCAGCAGTGTGGCCATCTCAGTGGGTGAGCTTGAAAATCCTCTTATAGACTTTTAGGGATTTCCCAGTGGGAAAAGGAGGGAATGGGGCTGGCATGAGGGGTTAGGGATGGCCTGGAAGGTGCTGGCATTACCCCCCAGTAGTGGCTGGTGACATCTCCAAGCTGGGGAGCACGCAGATGTGCCCCAGAGCACTGCCTGGCTCTGGGGGTGAGCGAGCTGACGGCTGTCCCGGTCCCCGCCGCCCCGGCAGCATGGCTGATGGCAGGATGGTGCTGCCGCAGCCCCGCGCCTTTCGGAGCCCCTGGCCAAGGCTGTTGAGATGCGCTGGCACGGTGCGGCATGGATGTGGGACGTGCTGTTGGAACGCGCTGGAGATACCGAGGTGCCTGGCAGCTGTCACGGGCACGTCTCGCTGTGCCGGAGGGGTGCCCATCTACAGCTGTCACTGTCACAGCTCATCTGGGGGGGTTAATTTGACCATGCCATGATTTTAGCTGTAGTAGTGTTTTAATGCACAAATGCAGGCTTGCATTTCACCAGTGTGATCGAGGTCACGGCCTGTTACAAAGCCTTTGTGAGCAGGCTCAGTGCGTGCTGCCCCTTCTGGCATGTCATCTGCTTTGATCTCCCAAATACAGTTTTAACAAAACCCTTCTATCTCCTCCTGTTCTTCTTTGGGCCAAAATTATCTTTGGCATAATGCTAACAAAGCTTAGAGCAACCACGCTTCAGTGGTCAGCATTGGGGAAAATGTTTCCCTGCTCAGCTAGGCTAAGCACTCCGCTTGATCAAAAATAGACAGAGGTGGCTTGCTGCACCCTCCTGCTGCCATGTGGGAGAAACAATCTTCTTCCAAACGGGACAACGCATATCTAAATGCTCTGGTGCTCCGATTGTCAGGTCTTGAAGACTAGCAGTTGTCTTTTAAGGTTCCTTTTAAATCAGTGGTAAGAGCTGACCCTGTTTTATTTTTGGCTCCCCCACTTACTGGTACAAAGGAGGGCAGCTCCATAAATTTTCAAGGTACAGCCGCGAAGTTGGAGAGCGCGTTCAAGGAATGGGAAATATTGCATGAATTGGAGCCATGCACACCACGCAGCCCCCCAGCCAGCTCCTGGCCGCTCCTGGCAGCAGGGTCGTGGCTTGTAGCAGGTTACGTACCTGCAGCCCCAGGTAATGCCACCTCTGGAGGCACGTATCCCAGGGACTTACAGCCCTGGCTGAGGTCAAGCCAAATACAGAATGACAATACCAATATAGTGATTGCCTTAAGGAGGCAGCGATGCTTCTAAAACACAGTGCTGAGCAAGTCCTACCTTTACAACGTCCTCGTTTATTCGCTTTGGGTCTCTGTTCACCAGGTCAATCTCCTTGGTGAGCTGGTCCTTGATGATGATCCTCTCCTCCAGCTCGGTCTGTTCCTCTGCCATGGCTGCTCTGCCGCCGGCTTGGCTCCGGACGGTCGCAGGGCAGGGAATTGGGGCTCTGCTGGAGGAGGACCTGGGGGAGGGCAGGGTGTGGAGGCACTGGCCCCCCCGCTGCCCACTGCAGCTGCCCTGCAGCCCTGCGCCCCTGGCAGTGCTCCAAGCTAAAATTAATGTTGTGCTTCCTGCAGCCGCTCTAAAGTGTCCCTTAAAGGGGCTTTGCTGGGGACAGCCCCCTGTGCTGTCACCTCGGGGGGGGGGACGACGACACGACATGTCTGTGGGTGGCTGGTGGCCCTCGAGCAGGGGCAAGGGTGGCACAGGGGGGTGGGTGTGCAGCCCCCCAGCCCAGCTGTGCAGGTGGGAGTTTCCTCTCACATGGAGAGGCGGCAGCATGGGAGAAATGATGCCCAAACTGGGGCAAAAGTCCTCAAAAGCCTGAGAGAAATAGTTGTTTGAGGCAGACTGCTGTTTGCAAATCTGTAAATGAACTGGCTCAGGGGAGAGAGGAATTGTGTCTATAAATGTCACCCAGAGAAGCCTCATTGTCCTGCGACAGCCAGCAAGCCTTGGGATCCCTCTGGGAGCCTAGAAGGCGGCTGACAGTATCAGCTTGGATTCCTTCAATTCCAGCTTTTTCATACGGAGAAGCTTGAGGAAATCAACAGACCAACCCACAGATCTCTAATGGTCCTGCTATCTCCTCTGTGAACACTGGGCACAGTGACATTTAGCGTATTAATGAAGGTTTATTTAACTTGTGCTGTATTTTGATCCTCATCAATGTCTCCAGTGCTCTCTTGGTTTTTGCAAACTGAAGATCTGTTTAAATCAAGTCTGGTGGTGCTGTGGGTGTGTGCTTTCCCTTTCCTGCACGCAGGCAGCCTGTCTGCACACCTTTTGTGCTGATACGACACAGCAAGAGTGAGAAGGGGCAGAGAGGGAAGGATGTATGGCTGTTAAGGAGAAGGAATCAGTGCCCTGGAGGTGTCTGCACAACTGCTGAGCATGGCAGAGGCTGCTTCAGAGCTACTGTGCTCGGCTGGCACAGCAGAGGGGGAGGTATTTTAACTGCAAAAGGCTGCTGCCTTCCAAAAAATCAGTGCCTGTGCAGTGCTGTCTTTATCAGACCCATGTGGCTTGGTGCCGGGAGCCTTCAGCGCTGCAATGGCTTTGTTCCAGCCCTTTGAGTTGATATAATACAGTGCAAAAATAGGATTGGGTTCTTCCATTTGGCTGAGGTGTTGCAGGTCTCTCAGGCATACTCATTTTTCCCCGAGAACTTGTGAGAGCGAGGGCCTGGCTGAGTGTCACTGCAGGTCGAAGGCTGCCAGACTCCTCTAATTTCTGCTGCTGCCTGTGGTGTTTTTTCAGTACTTTTTCTGGAGTCAGGGTGGTACCTCAGTCTGGAAACTGTTTTTCTTGGGATTTCTGCTCTAGTGAAAGCAGATGTGGTGATGCCCTGGGGTATCAGTGTGGCTAACACTGTGATCACTGCAGCTTGTCAGAGACCTCCCCGACTCCTCCTGTAGGGAGAGAAAGGGCAGGACTGGGAGTGGGAAGGTAACCATGCAAACCCCTGGGGTATTGCAAAAGTAAAGGAGGCACCTCTGGAGAAGGGACAAACTCTGTAAAGGGCTGTGAGCGTGGGGTTGTGGGTTTAAACCTGGGCGGGCTGCTTCTGGAGAGGAGTGCCCATCAGTGACCCTGTCCTGGCTGCGTTCCTCTGGTTGAAAGGATGCTGGAAAAACCCTTCAGCAGCACCAGTTCCACATCCCTGGATCTCTCACCAGCAGGATGGCTCAGTCTGGCCCTATTCCTTTGCCTTCCTGCAGGGTGAGTGCAGCAGCAACCACAGCTGCAGTGTTAAAATGCACCTGGGAGGCAGCGAGCTGCTGCCTGTGGTAAAACATGCCCAGAGCTGGTCAGGTGTGGGAGTACCCAGAGCCCAGCTCGACACAAGCTGTTTGCCGGTCTCTGCCCATTGGCAGGGATTTCGGACCCGCGGTCAGTCGGTGACCTGGCCCTCCATCTGCGGTGCCAGCACCGGCTCCTCCTTGGCAGCAGCAGCTGGAAGACCCCAAACCCAGCACGGGCTGGTGTTGCAAGTAAAAGAATCCTCGATGCTCCAAAGCTTTGGGCATCAGCTTTAAGGCCAGACCTGCTCTGTCACGGCTGAATTCCTCTCTAACGAAGTTTTGTAGCACCACCACTGCGATGGCTAAGCACTTCAAGCTAGATTGTGAAGGGTGTTTTTGCAAAATAAGCTGTTTTTCCCTTCCTCTGAGCTGAGGGAACACATTGCTGGTGTGAGCAGGGCTGTGAGCGGAGGCAGCATGCGTGAGTAACCGCCGTCTGATGGAAGAGCAATGCTTGCTTGGCCGGGAACCAGCGCCGAATTTAGGAGGCACAGCTGCTCCTGGCAGTGTTGTCCCCTCACAGGCGGAGGAGTGCGACACAAGGTATTTGCTCTGCTGCATTTTTCTCGACCCGTCCCATGTGGAAGGCTTTACGCTGGGAAGGGGCGGGGGTTTGGTGACCTGCCTTCCCCATGGTCCGGGGGGGGCTCGGCTGGCTGCCCCGAGACCCAGGGCCGTGCTGGGGGACAAGCAGCACATGCTGAGCCCTGCCCCACCTCTCATATGGGATTTCTAACAGCACGAGTCACTTGCTGTCTTTAGGCTTGGGCTGGGCTGGTCCTTGGTGTCTGCACCCAGGCACGCGGCTTTGCTGTCCCAGGCGTGGGAGTAGGAAAATGTGAACCCATGTAGTGGTTAACGTGCAGTTTGTAAGTGTCTCAAGTAGCAATGAGAGAGGAGGAATATTCTGTTGCACCGTAGATACTATAAATAAATCTATTTCCGAGTACTTTAAGGCTGTGAATGGGACACCATGTAAAAGTTGCTGGTGTGCAGAGGCTGCAGTGGACTACCAGTAATATTAGTTTGTTGGTAACTGGTAACAACCAGAAGTTTAATTGCTAAGTATAGATGATAAAACAATAGCAGTTTTAGCAAATATGAATGCTCCTGTGGGGATGGATATAGATGAGAGATGCATTGAGAGAATTTGCTGGCCATAGCTTGACTTGTAGAGACCCTCTCCCAACCTGGCCGTGCAAGAGACAGCCTTTAATTTCTTGGCAGTGCCTTTCACTAGTACCAGCTCACATGTCAGCTGCACAGCAGTAAAGTCATTGTACCTTTCAGTATAAAGTCCAGCTTTTGTATAGCAAATGCATTCCTCCTTCCAGATCAGGGGCTTCTCCTTGCGGATGTTTTCTTGCACCAGCCTGCCCATGATCCAGGCAAGTCCTAAGCTTCAGCTGGTCCTCTCATCCCTGGAGCGCAGCCACCCTCAGCCAGCCCTTGCTCATACATCTGTCCAGCTCCGAGTGTGGAGGAGGGGGATTCAGGCTCACACAAAAGACTGAGCAGATTGAGTGCTCCTGCACGCGTGGAGCACACTTGGGTGTTTTAAAACCCAGCTCCCCACCCCAGTGCAGGAATCTGGTGTGTGCCCATTACCAGAGGATGGCTCCTACCCTGTAAATATGATATTGCTGGTGGCCACTGCACTGAGAAGCCTCTTTTGTTCAGCTCTTTGCTGCTGTCATGCTTTCTTTCCCCTTCTATGAGCAGCTCCTCTTGAAGCTTTGTGCTGCAGCACTGGCAGAGAAGGAGGTGCAACTCAGCTGCTGCTGGGGTCACCATTTTGGTCTGGAGCTCACTGGAGAAGCAGGGCTCGGGCATGCAGCTTGGTCCTCCTCACCCTGAAACCTTCCCAAACCGTCAGGCATCGCTTAGGACATGAAGGACACTCCACTTCTTCTATTTACCTTGGAGTGTTTTTCCTATGCTCCCTGTATGTCAAGTCTTTTGAAGGCTTTTTTTCTCCCAGGAAAATGGAAAGAGCTACACATGCAGCAGAGGCAGGAGAGGCGATCCGGCAGGAGCAGGGCAGGGCTTGACAGTGGAAGCGCAGGACATGCCTGCTCAGTGCTGCTCGGGTCACTTGTTCTTTGCTGAACAGACCTTCTCCAAAACAGATGCCATGAAATGCTTGCTTTGCCTCTGATGTGTGGAGTGGGTGCTGCTCCCTCCACTGCTCCTCTGTGTGTGTTGGAGCTGGGTGCCTGTGGGAGTTGAAGCCCACTGAAATTCCCATCTTTCATTTTGAGAACATCTGTTAGGAAACCTTGTGAGAAGTTTCCCTCTGCAGAAACAAATAGTTACCATTGCCCCCCCTGACCAGCCTTATATGTGATTGCAAGGGGAGTATTGCTTTTGGAAAATAGATTACCAAAACCTGGGCTGCCTGTGGGCTAGAAGGACTGGTGCTATGAACTTAGAAACCTTCCCCAGATAAATAACCTGCTGCTTGGTCCCAGCAAGTAAAATACATTTCTTTCAAGCAGAGAAGAATAAAACAGCAATAAAGCTTGCAGAAATCAAAGCTCCTATGAAAATAAATTGACCAGAATTGCAGTGAAGGAATAGTAAAGGAGAAGAAATTGGGAGCTTTTGCTATCAAGTCCTCTGAGAGCGTGCGGTATGCTGTGGGAGAGAGGAGAGTCAGGTACAAAGTGATGCTGGTAAATTAAGTCATAGGTTAAAGCAGGAGGAATGGCTCGGTGTGTAAGTTCTGACCTCAGGGGCTTTTAATCCTTCAGCTCAGTTTAGCGTGTGTAACAAGGAAAGTAAATGAATGAGTATTTCAAGCGAGTGGAAAGTGCTGCCAGATGGGAGTGAGGGTAAGGGATCAGCTCTGCCTTCAGTGCTTGGAGCAGAGCTCTCCTTTCATCTTTTTTTAAAAAGCAAAACAAAACTACCTTTCATGTCTCCATCCCACGAGCATCTTTTAGTTCTTCTGACTATCTGTTGCAAGTTAAAGCTCAGTTTTAATGATCTATTCCCTAGTGTTACTTCTCCCTGAAAATGGGAGCCTGCCAGTGGTGGTAGTGTGATCCTGTCATTCATTTCTCTTGCATAGTACCACCGTGATGC